AAAAAAAAAAAAAAAAAAAAAAAAAAAAAAATATATATATATATATATATATATATATATATATATATATATATATATATATAAAAGGAAAAAAAAAAGAGCTGTATTGTGACAAACTTACAGTTCTACCCGTTGGGCCTATTATACCTTCTCTGCCAAGGGGGCCAGTGTTTCCCTGTTGGGGTTAAAAAAAAAAAAAGTCAGTCAGTCTCAATGCCAGTATAATTCAGGAAAATTCTAGAAAACTTCTTGCACAATGGCAAAATAGTCCATGTCCACATAATTCCAGTTTTTATTACAAAATCTTACGGTATTGGCAGAAATCATAGTAATTTTGATTTGACGCAATTCTGCATATTATTATGGTTTCCCATTAGGAGAATTAATCTCTATAATTTCTAACAAACTGATAAATCAGCATTACAATTTTTATGTGGTGATAGATTCAGTGGTGCCATTTTATATATGTGTCATTGCATAACAAATGCAATTACTTTATGTAACAAAGACTACATAGAGTCATGGACAAAATTTTGAATATATTTATTTACAGATGTTGAACAAGCAGATGTTTGAGTAACATGCAGCATGGAATTGAGAGAAATTATGGGAAAGAACTAGAGGGCATCATTTGTGACCGGTTAAACTTCTGGCTTCTTCATCAGTAAAATAAGAATGCCTACTTCACAGGGCCACTGAGAATTAAATGTGAAAAACAGTTTTGAAAGTGTAAGCTGCTATTTGATTATGAAGATAACCTTGAATAAGCTGGATCTCTGGTCAACTCCTATACTAAAAATGGAGCCTATCATTTCTTAATGAATACAAAATACATGTTTTAGTTATTTTCCCTCAACCTCCACCCCCGCTACCACTAGCTTCAAGTTTCAGTGTTTCTAGCTCCACTTAACGTGGCATATATAAATGTGGCTATCTAACAGGCTTTCTCTTTGTCCAACTCCTGCCAAGATACAGAAAATACTCAGTGGAGATAATTATAATGCCATTCAGTCTATTGACAAATAGCTTTAAGATTAAGTTGGCTTAGAATGAGAGAAACTACCTGATACTCTATAAAGTAAATCTAATGAAAGCACTTTTAAATATGAAGATCTACTTTAAGTGATAATTTTAAAATATGGTTACCAAATCATAAAGGTCCAAAATCAAGAGGCTTGATTTCTTATCCTAATCAAATATATCCTCTAGATTGGCTTATTACTGGGAAAAAAAAAAAAAAAGCCAAGAAAGTGTCAATCTAATAAATTTGAACATGATCTAACTCTCTGAAATAATGATTTGTACATATTATTCAGTCAATCCAATGTGGATTCAAATTCCAGCTCCTCTACATACTAGCCACATATGGCTTTCAGCAAATTACCTTTCAGAGATTTAGTTTCCCTACCAGCAAAATGGGGATAATAGCATCTCTCACAGGATTTTTATGAGTAAATGATATAGGGACATAAACTGAACACCAGTACCTGGTACATAATAGTTTTTTGCTAAATATTAACCTAGCAAGACTTTTCACTTGTCTCTACAATGACTTAATAGGAATATCTGCACTTATAAATTAGTATTTGTGAGCTAGTTACCATAACCTTACTATTGGAGAGCTGATAAAATTTCTGGAGCTGCAAAGCAGTATAGGCTCAGATCCTGGCTTACAGAGACACAGCACCTCATATGACTTTGCTTAGGACAGAGGCTAGGCAGGCAGCCAACTTCTCTTTGACAATATAAAGAAAGGATTTAATTAATTGAGAACTTAATAACATCAGAATGAATGAATTTAATTAGTGGGGAACTTTATGTAAGAACTTAAAACCAATATTTATTACAGAGAAGCCTATCCATACATAACCCACCTGTGGATGATAAAGAATTGGACTTTACCTAAAAGCACAAGCTTTCCATGGTTCTTCAGAAATCATAAAAATAACTAATACATTTGCACCTGGAGCATGTTGAGAGGGGTCTTTAAATAAACATTTCCCATGACAACACTGCTCTTTGTATTATAGGAAATAATTTATTGTAAGAGTTAGGGAAGCGGCGTAGGATTTTAAAAATTTGACTTTTCATTTAATATTTGCACAAGGTAGTGGTTTTCAGTTTTAAAATTCTTCTTCAGGACTCAGCTCTCCCCTATCTGAACTGCTGTCCTTCCTCTCTCTCAGCTCTCTCCACCCTTGCCTTAGCAGCTGCTGTTAGCCATAGAGGTGCTACTCATCACAGTCAAACCAGTGCTTGGCTTTTATTTTTAACCTTTTTTCTCTTTAGTTTTATAGATCATCTCATCAGTTAGGAGAGTGTGGTTAATAAAAACAAAAAAGCAAACAAAAACAATAACCAGTTAGTGCTGGTGACTTATCTATCCTATTTACGTTCTCTACAGTTTGCAGTTTCAGGCACTAAACAGCTAACCAGAGTTCTTCAGAGCCCTGATCTTTCCAACTCTTGAAGGAGTTTCTCGTTACTCTCTGGGGATACCCACCCCTGAGCAGAGGAAACACAGCTATTGGGAAACATTTTTCAAAGTGTGGTCTGAGAAGCGCTGGTCATAGACAAGCCTCATCCAGGTGGTACATGGGGGTGGTCTCTAGTCCCTGGTTATATTAATGCTTATAACATGAAACTGCTTTATGCTTTTTATAATCTATTTATTAACTGGTGTGAGTTAATAAATATATTATCCAGTAGTTACATTAATTCTTTTTTTTAAAGTAAGAACTGGGCAGTACAGGTGGTCTATGGGGTCTTTTGCTCAAACTAAGAAACGTACTGAAAAAGGTTGAGAATGTCTGCATGTGCTCTAATGAGTTTCTGTTTTAAGAGTCATTTTTTAAAGTTATTAATTTGGAGTATATTTATTTTAGAGTTCTTAACCCTAATTCCTGTAGTCAACAAAGAATCACAATATCTGGGAAGGCAGAACGACTTCATACTTACCCTCTGTCCAATAGGACCTTTAGGACCTGATATTCCAACAATGCCAGCATCTCCCTCAGGACCCTAGAAACACAATAAAAAAAAGCCAAAATATGAACATTTAGTACATGAAATAACCTTGTACCAACGTATTAAGAATTGGCTCTTAAAAATGGAACTTGATAGTTAATGAAGTTCAGGCTTAAGTATTTTGGAGGAATTGTACTGAGGTCTACAATGTACTTCAAAATACATCAAAAATGGATGGAGAGAGGAGGAGGTATAAATAGATGGGTAGGTACATAGTCAAGCAAGTAGAGTAAAATGTTTTGGTAGAATTTAGGTAACAGGTACATAGGTGTTTACTCATTCTCTCAACTTTATGTTTGAAATTTTTCAAATAAAAAGTTTGGAAAAACAGAATGGGAAGAGACAAAAGCTAATTATTCCATAAAATTGCTAGGAAAATATATAGTTACATAAGTCAAAATTAACATATTCAAAACTCAAATATATTACTCTGTACCAACTGAAATTTTGCAGATTAAAAAAAACAAAAGCTCAAGTCAGAGATTAAATATTGGTATTTCAACATCTGTTTTTTGAACAGATGTTGAACATTGGTATTTCAACATTGGTATTTCAACATAGCCGGAGATGAGCAGAAAATATGTAAACATACTTTGGGGCCTGGGAATCCTTGGAAACCTGTCAAACCTTGAATACCATGTTCTCCCTGCAATGTGAATAGATATGATAACCATTATTGTACGATGTTGGCCTGGTCTGTAGAGTAAGTGCTTAGTGTATTTCCGAGTTGTCACCTACAGACTGCCCTTTCATGCCAGGCTCTCCACATGGTCCTTGATCACCTTGTGCTCCTCGGTGACCTCTTTTACCTGGAATTCCAGGTTGACCAGGTAGCCCTTGTTCACCCTACGGACAAAAAAAAAAAGAAAGGTTATCTTGACTTTAGAACCTATAAACATATTGGCTTTTAAATGAAATCTAAATACTGGCCCATCTTCAGGCATGTGTACAAGGCACTAGAGAAGTCAAAATCTGCATGATTATTCTCCCCACCAATAGTTTCCACATATATAATATTTGATTACAATGAACAAGAAGTGTGGCAGCAGGGAAATAGAATTCCAGAGATTGTGGTCATGACTGTGGAAAGAGGAGGGAAGAGGGGGCCTGCAAAAGCAGGAGGAGGATAGTGGGGCTACAGAGAGAATAGTGAGGGTGTAGGATGTATGGAGGCATTTGTATGAGATGGAACTTGTATTTTATTTGAATTGAAATTATTTTGCTGTCTTACATTCAGAGATGATTCAGCTATCTGATATCAGAAACAGAGCAGAATCTCTTGAAGTGTGAACCCTGGTTTTTGCCATGAGTATCTTTTCAATTCCATCATTAAGAAACTTCAATTATCTGTTTCCCAAGATTCCTTTGATACCAGTCCTCTTTATCCCCTAACAGTTCACTTTTAAGACATACTTTATTATCATTATTTTATTTTAAAAAGTCAAGTCCTTTTAAAATTTATTTTTATTTTGTTTTTGAAATGAGGCTTGCAATAGCTTTTGCCATTTCTAAAAATAAACTTAAGAATCATGTGGAGTTTATAGATAAGGTAATGAAAAATGATGCTTGGTAGACTTTGACCAAAGCTTTAAGATTAGCAAATTATCCTTCACTGTACTGAGAGAAAGATACAGCTTTGGGACTTGACAAACTGGATCCTTTTTTTTTTTGCAGATTCACACATAAAAGGTAGGGATCTTTCTTATTTATTTTCCTAGGTTTAGCATTTGCTCAGCTATCTTGTATTTCAGTGTAAAGGGATATTCATGGTATAAACATTAACAGAAAGGCTCAAACTTTAAACAGTAAGCTGCTGGGTCATCATTTTCAGTTTACCCATATGGGTCAGAATACCTAGAAATTCTTTATAAGTGGAACTCTGAAAATCAAATTAAGAGGTAATAATGATGAGGGTGCCAATATCTTAATCCTAGTCTTTTATGAAATAGCATTAGATATGGGACTAGTCTCTTGGTTGTCTGGGTCAAATCTGCACTGAGATATTTCTAAGAGAGGTTTTGTATGGAAAGCCTATTGCCATGTGGCAATACTCCTGGCAATGAATGTTAAGGCAAGACAATTACTATCACTTTGACTTTAAGAAATAATCTGTATTCCTATCAGATTTATCAATTGGTTGGTTAGGTTCAGAAGTAGGGGAACAGGAAGTATAACTGAGAAAGTATGCAACTGGAAGTAAATAAGATTTTTCTGTTTTGGCGGAGAAGGTGGATGACAGAAAGGAAAGAAGAACCAAAATGAGTCAAAGAACATTTTTTAAAGCATCACCAGTCCTGGGTTTATGAGTAGTTTTGGCAAATGACATGCACTGTGGCTATCACGGGAGATGGCTATGTCAAGGCCACACACTTACGGTTTTTCCTAATGTGTTTTCATGTTAGCCAAATTTTATTAAAAGCTATCAGTCTTACCATCCTGTGATCTAGCCAGTAAACTCAGGGCCAGGAAGGATGGTCAATACTGCTCCTCCATCAGAACAAACATGAAAGTACCTTCGGGCCTAGAACTCCTGGGCTTCCTGGAAGGCCTGATGAACCCTTTGCTCCTTGAGGACCTGGAGACCCAGCCAGTCCCATTCTTCCTGGGCTGCCTCTGATGCCCTAAATAACACAGATAAGAAATGAAGACTGGTGCAGCTCCTAGAAAATCCATCCAGACACTCAATAAATGAAGGAGGGGTTGGTGTTCTGAAAGCCTACTGTTGATACACTGCCCAGGTTTGGGAGTTATCCTGGGCTTCTTTCCCAAATAAGTGAAATGTTTAAATAATGTTTTGGCTCACCTAAAATCTCTAATTACAGTTAATGTAATGGTCTTGGGTTTTTAAAATAAAAATACTGAGGCAGCACAAAGTCCACCTTTGTACTATCCACCAAAGTCAGTATCTTCTGACTAAGTAGCCTAGATGCGAAGTATGTTTGTCACATTCTAACTCTTTGTGTTATACTCCTGTGTGCATGACAACTCTAATTAACCTACCCTTAAGAATATTCTTCTTATTGTGGTCATTATTTCTCAATATATACAAATACCAAATCACTACATTGTACACTTGAAACTTATATGATGCTATATTGATTATATCTCAGTAAAAAAGAATATTCTATTTTTCAATCACACATGACTCCAGAAAATTTGCTTCAAATAGCTTAATTGGGAATAAAGTTAAGTAAGCAAACAGTATTTCCTCAAAGCCAAATCCTAAAACAAAGTTGGTAAACTATGGTTTACCTCTATGGTTTACCATCCCCTCTTTTTGTAGAGCTTGTGAGTGAAGAATAGTTATTACATTTTCACATGTTGAAAAAATCAAAAGAAGAATAATATTTGAAGATGTGAAAATTACATGAAATTAGAGTTTCAGAATCTGTAAATAAAATTTTATTGGAAAACAGTCATGCTCATTCATTTATATATTGTCTGTGACTGCTTTGTGCTGCAATGTCGTTGTGGCAGAGACTAAAAGGCACTCATTAAAAAAAATAATAAAAATAAAAATAAAAGGCACTCATTGCTTCCCACTACTGCTTGTTGCATTGCAAATTACAGTGATGCAATTATAACTTGACAGTGTTTTGAGAGGAACATATATTGACTCATTGTGAGATTTTATTATCAGTGCATATCGTTGTATCAAAACAAGAAAAGAAGAAAAAAGTGGATACCCCAATAAAGATGTTAAAAAAAAAAAAAAAAAAAAAAAAAAAAAAAAAAAAAAAGAAGAAAAAAGTGGGCTTTGAATGTTGTATTTTTGAGGCACAGTGGAATGTGGATTATTTTGTGATCAAATTAGATGTCAAAGCTTTATTTATTATGCAATGACACTATAGTTGTGCTAAAAAAAAAAGTACAATATACATCAACATTATCACACCAAGCACTTGACACAATATTCCCACCTCACAGAAGTGTAACAGAAAAATTAGGAAACCTAAAACAGAGTATCTTATCACAATAAAAATTCTTCACAAAAATTTGAAAATGAAGTTGCAACTAAAGTTTCTGAGTGGCTCATTTGTTAGTCCAACAAAGTTGCTTATTGATAGATTTAATTAAATCGTGCAGCAAAAATAAACTCATTTCTTAACATTTTGGCAAGAACAGTTGCTTAAAATGTCAAGGACACTGGAGCAGCATCAATAGTCAATTGAAAAATAAGGCAAATGCTTTCAAGTGGTTTTCCTTGCCTCTTGATTAATCGACAGATGTTAGTAATACTACTCAGTTGTTTATTTGAGGAGTCATTGCTGAGTTTGAAGTGCCTGAAGCATTATCCTGTATGAATAGTTTGTGGAGTGACTATAGGTAAGAATATTTTCAAGTAAGTTAAAACATTAAATCAGTTCAACCTGAAGTGGTATCTGCTAAAATGTGATAAAACTGATGGCAATGGATAAGAGAAAGACTAACTAGACGAATTAACAAAACTTGTGAAAATGTTAAGGTATTTAGAGCTATGTTCATTTATTGTATTATTCATTATCAGGTACTCTGAGGAAAATACTTGAATCTAGCATATGTTATTGAGCCGGTACTGTCAAGAGTGAACTCCATTGACTCTTGTAAATTTAACCGTCGGTGGTTCTGTGAATTTGTTTTGTCAAAATAGAAACTGAATATCCTTTCTCTAACATGTAGCAGTTTGATGGCTTAGCAGGGATAAAGTTTTATTGAAATTTTTGAGACTATGATTGAAGTTTTTTTGAATGAGAAGAACGGCCCTCAACCTCTATTATGGAATGATAAATGGCTTTAGAAATTAGATTTTGCTGCAGACTCATTTAATGTTTATCTATGAATTCAACCAAAAATTGCAGGGCAAAACAATGCTCACATGTGAAACATACTGTGATAAAGTCATTTTGATGACAACTAATGTTTGAATCACAAGTAATGTCAAACAGCTTTATACACTTCCTGTGCTGTCAAAAATTAAAACAAGAAGTGAGATCTCCATTTCCACACAAATTTGCGGTGGGTAGATTTTCTGAGCTCAAACACTTTCAGCCTTTGAAAGTGAAAAGCATTTTCACTTTCAAAAGCATTTCTAAAGCATTTTTCAGACCTAGATGCACGAAATTTCCATATTCAAAATCCATTTAACTGTTCACTTGAGGAGTTCAACTATAACTTCAATTGGAAATGACTAATGTACAATATAATGACATTCTAAAAGGCAACTACCAAGAGAAGAATCTAACAGAATTTTATAAATTCCTTCCAAGCAATGAATATGCTCAATTAAAATCATATGCTCATGAACTGCAGTATTTGGCAGTACATATCTGTGTGAAAAGAATTTTCAAAGATGAAATATGTAAAACATGCAAAATCTCATTCTAAGTCATATTAACAAATGAAATTTTGATGATAGGAAACTGTAATAAGCTAAACGTTATCCCCCTTGCAAAAGAATTCTGTTTTTCTCATTAGTAGACTTGTATCACAAAAAATTATACTACATTAATATATTTTAAATTTCATAAATAAAAATTTTGTGAAAACTTATTTTCTTTCTTGTTACATAAGTTCTTAAGTAATACCCTTGATTTTGCCTCTTGCCTTGCAAACTCAAAAACAGTTACTAATATTTACAGAAAAATTTTGCTGACCCCTGTTCTAGGAGGTGATTGCTACTTTCTGAGTTGATTCCTGGGATAATAAATTGGGTGGTGTAATAGTTGTTCCATGCATTCAACAATATTTGTTGAATATCATCTATGTGTAAAGAAGGTATCATGAGAAGCCCTGTGGAGGATACAAATATAAATAAGATATGGTTTTTATTTTTAAGAAGCTTAAAATTAAGTTTAAAAGACTGTAACATATAAATAGTTATAATAAAGGCAGAAATGTAAAAAAAAAAAATAAAGACCAGATGAGAAAAGAGACATAAAGTAAATACTAGAAAGGTTCTGAAGAGGGGAAGTTACCTTTGGTGCTAATTAGAAAAGAAATTACTGAGAAGGTAGGGTTAACTGGATCATAAGGTAAAGCTGTTTCCCTTAGAGTTATAAATGTGGTAGGAGAGATAACTGACTCCAGATAGGCTAGACTGATTTCTGTGGAAGGCCTGCTTGGGAGAATAGGATTTAAAAGGTAAAGCCAATTTTGAATTTAATGCTAAAGCACTTTTCCTCTTTTTAAAAAATGTTTCCTCCAAATGATCACATATCTTTTTATTCTCTTACTGGTGGTAAAAAAGTTCAATATATTAAAAAATTACCTTTTCTAAGCAGATTTTCTTCATGATCACAAAACTCACTAAAATAATGAATAAAATCATATTTTCTATCACTATCACTAGGTGCCATGTATATGCTCAGTGCTTAGGACATAGGCTTACATTCCTTAGCTTGACCTGCAAATCTTTTTTTGTCCCAATCTACATCAACCATTTTATCTCTCACCATTTATCTATATTAGTGGCTCTCAATATTTGTAAGGAACCATTATGAGGGCAGAATCTATATAGGGAGGGAGGAAGGGAGGGGGGCATGACAGAGGGAGGGAGAGGCAAGGGAGAGAGAGAGAGATCCACATTGTGGACTTAGGATTCAGGTGGTGTGGTTCTTCCACGTTGCTTGCACCTTATCCTAAGTCATTAACCTATGCTAGTTCTTTCCCTCTGCTTCTTGCTGTGTGTTTTACATTGATTTGATTTAATTTGGTCTGGGAGCCTTTTGGTTCCATATCTCTGGGATAGATTATCTGGTAGTGTACTTTCCATATGAATTATGAGAACCCTGGAGACATGAGATGGTGCCATTGTAGAGCTCCTCAATACAAATGAAGGCAAATCCAGTCATAGTCATTTGAGACTCTGGGGTACAGAATTTCAAAAATGTTCAGGGAAGGGACTTCCCTGGCGGTCCAGTGGTTAAGACTTCACCTTCCAATGCAGGGGGTGCGGGTTCGATCCCTGGTCGGGGAGCTAAGATCCCACATGCCTCAGGGCCAATAAACCAAAACATAAAACAGAAGCAGTATTGTAACAAATTCAATAAAAACTTAAAAAAAATGTTCAGGAAAGATATGTGTTATACCAATGGCCAGAATTCTAATGGGAATATGACTATAGGAAAGGCAAGTTTTAAAAACAAAATTCAGATGAATAGTGCCCTTCCCAATAAAAACAAAAAGGGGTTGAAAAACCTGAAGAAACCAGTGGCCTGAAGAGAAAGCAGATTATACAAGGTCATAAATAAAAGATGGAAGGAAGGACATGTAAGCCAGGAAGAAAACAAACAGACCAACAAAGTCGCTCCAGAATTAAACTAGGTGAAAGGTTATAAAATACGAATGAGTGTAGAATTAAAAATAATAATAATGGGTTGTCTTTCAAGACTGAGCGTATCCTGTGTCTGGCTGTATTAGACAACTAGTGGATCCCAGTTGGAGAGGAGATGTATCACGTGAAAGATCACCCTAGATGACTTTAGGACACCTCAACATTCTGCAGTTCTAAAATAGTACCACTTTACCTCACTTTACTTGTAAGTTTAGGTATTTTTAAAAATCTTTATTCTCCAACAGAAAAAAAAATGTATCTTTTGGGTGATACATGAACAATGGACATGCAAAGACTGCTGAACATTCC